ATTTTCCATTGTTCTTTGTTGAAAACAACTTCGTTCGCCAGATTTCCAAAAATATTGTACTGGTAGAACGCTTGAATATGATATCCAACTCGGTATGAGTCGAAATCTAACTCACTGAGTCGACTCAGTAAACTTGAATCAACTCGAACAAAAACTTTTCCAATTGGTTTCTCCGATAATTTTTCTTGTTCTTCATCTCCAAATTCTCTCTGAAATCCATGGGGAAGAATTCCTTTTTCTCAAAACTTCTCAAAGACGTACGATGAGAGAGAAAAATAAAAAGAAAAAAACCAAGGATAGAACCGTAAAAGCCACCCAAAATAGCTACAATGAATTTATTTAAAATGACAGAAGTGATACATTCGTAAGAAAAATCTCAAATGTGTATATTGAGCTCGTTAGCCCTATTCAAAATTATAATTTAACGCTTGTTAAAGAGAATTTAGAAGAATAACTAAACTTTATTTAAAAAAAAAATACATGTTATATGCAACAAAGAAACTAATAAGACACATTATAACAAAAAATAAGGATGAATGGGGTTGCCTTCTTATTTTTGCAAACTTTAATAGCATTTTTAATCTGTTATTTTATTTTCCACTTTAAACGAGAAAGAATTTTACTCCAATCTCCTTTTTTCATTTGGAGTAGGGAGATGCTTTTTCTTGGTCGAAAATTAAAATTCATTCACAAAATCGGGTGTTAATCGATGGTATAAGGGACGTGCCGATTTTGCTAAGGCACCAGCCTCAGTGTTCAGAGTTCTTTTGACATATAAACGAAATCTAACACATTCATATCTAAAGAGAGAGATAGGATATCATGAAAGATGTCATAGATATCAATATGATGAGTCTTCGATTTGATCAAACAAATATTTTTTTGTGAATCTGAGATCAAACAAAATCGATCCAATCTTAATTCTTTCGCTTGCATTAAGGCATCTCGGATCATCAGAGCCTCTGCCATCAGAGGTGAGTTGGCTTGGTACATAGGTTTGGAGCCTTGTGCTAGGATCGTATGTTCGTGATCTCTGAAGATCCAATCAATTCCGGCTAGTTTTGTGTCTTCTCTCCAAACCGCGTATGTGTGGCACCGAAAGGATCTCTAAAATCAAATGCTTTAAATAAAATAAAGTAGTTCAATATTGTTGCGTAACAAGTTAAAAC